CTCCGCCAAGAGGGCTCCAAGAGGCCTCCAAGACAGCCCAAAAGTGCTCCGACTCACCGAACGAGCGGTCCAAGACGCCCAAGATGGCCTTCATACGGCCCTCGAGGCCGCCGAGAAGCCCCAAGAGAGCCCCAAGAGGCTCTCCAAGAGGGCTCCAACAAGAAAAAGTCGTCCCATTCCTTAGGGCAAACGTATATTTTGCGCATATACGATGTCGTGCAAGCTTGGAGCACTCTTGCCTATTGAGACCCTTGGCGTTCAGAGCTTTTTACGTCACTGTACGCTCTTCGGGGCCTTGTTGATCAGAGCTCGTAAACAGCTCTTGGATGCATCTTTGAAAGCCTCTTCGGGGCTTCTTCAGAATCTTCACGGCCGTTTTCGGGCCCTCTTGGAGTCGTCCCAGGGCTCTCTGGGTCCGTCTTAGGGGGCTTGGGCCTGCTTGGGGCACTCTTGGGGCCCTCTTGGGAGCCTCCTGTGGCCTCCTTGCGCCTCTCCTGGGAAGCTCTGAGACTCTGTGAGGCCCTCCTTGGGCCGTCTTGGGGCTCTCTTGGGCTGTCCTGAGCCACTCTGAAGCCGTTTTGAAGCCCTCTTGAGAGCCTCTGGAAACGTTTTTGGGGCCGCCGCTCCCTGCAGCTCCGCACTGCCGACGACCTCTCGGCCAAGCCACCGCGGTGCGCAATATGGGCTGGCGGAATGAGCGAAGCGATTAAATGTTCCCGCACGGTTTAGGACTGTCACGGCGCAGCAGTCACGTTGTTTCGTGGTGTTGAAGACCCCGGAATGGCGTTGATTGAAGATCGTCAGGACGCAACAGAAAACTTGATTCGCGGCGATGATGCCCAAGGGGTGGTTTCTTTTTGTCACGATTGAGAATTCTCAGACGGGTGTCCTGCAACGAGGCACTTCCAGCAGTGAAAGTCAATTATTGCAGCAAACGATGAAGAGGGAACTTGGACAGAGGGTTAATGCATCATCGTTGATGTGTCGTGGGTTCATACTAGTCCTCCTCCTCTTCCTCCTCCTCCTCCTCCTCCTCCTCCTCCTCCTCCTCCTCCCCCTCCTGCTCCTCCTCCTCCCCCCCAACCCTGCCACCCACCTATACAGTGAGATCGTGTGGTGACGACTTCGGCGTTGGTGTCTGACACCGCGTGGATCGTTCAACCTTGAACGATCGGCGGCTTTCCGATCGCCAAGTCGCTCCACATTGGCCGATTCTGGGCCACTTGTGGCGTTCAAGCTGACAAGGCGAGGTCGCCGCCGCGTCGACACGATATCTACCGTACCAAGCGCCCCCTCTCCAGGAGGATGAAGAGGGGACCAGTCCGAATCCAGAAGGTCGCGCCGCCGCCCAGGCGAGAGCAACCCTCCCAAGTCAGGAAATGTGGCCGCGGCGCTGTGTCGCGAGCACCTTACCCCATCCAGCAATGTGGGTGGCTGGCGCTGAGGCGAGAGCGGGCCCTGCTTTGTCCTGGTACTGCAAGTCATGAGCGGGGCGACGGCTGGCGGAGGATAGGACGGGGATGAGGTTATAATGCTAAACGAGGGTTGTCCCTACCTCGTATGTTGTTTGATGCGTGAAATGCTTCAAAATACTAGGTCGTAGACGAGGAAGAATGGCGTCTCGCGCGCGAGCCGAAGTACATGAGATGTTTGCAAGCATGGCCGGGAACCGCTGAAAATGCGCCCTCGCGCGGACGAAGGAAGTACAAACATGCATTGGCTCAGGATGCGTTCCAGGAGTCCCAGAGTATCTGGCGGCCCTCGTTCCTGCAGCCCGTGTGGAGCATCAGGAGATCTTGGAAACCCTTGGGATCCAGAAGCGCGCTCCTCTGACCACAGGCCGACGACCTCCAGGTCTTGCCTCCCTCCTGCCTGTCGCCCCCCCCCCCAGGAGGAGCAGGCGACCGCTTCGAGCCACGGGGGTCGCGCCGCCATCCAGGCGAAAGCACCACTCCCGCGGTCACGCAGGGTGGGGCCGGCGCTGTGGCGCGAGCACTCTCTCCCAGTCCGTCGGGGATACGGCAGCGGCGCTCAGGCGAGCGGGTGCCCCACTTGGCGTTGAGACTGGGAATCGGGAGGGGGAATCCTGAAGGTCGGCATCGAGATAAGGTGATGCCAACCGTAGGGATCTCTTGCAAGGGGCGCTCTGGCCAGAACCCCGAGGCGGACAAGAGCTCCCAAGAGGCGCGAGAAAACGAGGGAAGGGCAGCGGTGCTGTTGTTTTTTTCTCGGAGCAGGGCGAATTGAGACACCGGCAGCTCAAAATCTGTCTCCGAACCCCTCCTAGTGTCCAAGCGGACCACTCCTCCGGTCTGCATCCAGCCGCAGCAACCAATGGCAAGTCTGGGGGGCTCCCGTGGGTAGAAAACGAACCACTGTACAGGTCCACCTCCGTCCTCATCCGTCGCCCCTCCTGCTCTGATTGTGCTCCTTCTCTCTGGACGGGAGGAGGAGGAACGAGGTGGATCTGTATATTTGTCCTCCTCCGATTGGCGGCCTGCTGGTCGCAGTCCGCCAGCGGGACGCCAACTTCGGAGGCGAGACGGAAAATGAAGTACGAGAAGCCGCCGTTGCAGCCCTCCGTGTACGGGGAGCAGCGCGTGGGGCTCTTGTAGGAGAGCTCCAAAGGGTACAGGATGCCTGGAGAGCGAACAAAACGGCTCATCAAAAATCCATATTAAGGACACAGGGTAGGGATGCAAGACCTCTGGAAGTCCCACTTACCATTCAGAGCCCCTCGGACGTCAGCATTGGCTCAGGATCGGCCGAGCAAGCAGGGATGCAAGGGTAGCCTTGTTGAAACAGCGCAGCCTTACTATGGGTTGTGGCTGTAAGCGCAAACTTTCGGGACTCCGCGCGGATGTTTTGGATCGTCGTTTGGGACCCCCCCCCCTGGCGCGCGGAACGCGCCAGGCCAGGGGCGGCGCCAGGGGCGGCGCCAGGGGCGGCGCCAGGGGCGGCGCCAGGGGCGCCGCCAAGGGGGGCCCATCGCCGATCCGAGACATCCGCGCCGAGCCCCCAATGTTTATGATTAGTTCATGATTATGGCGGTTTTCTTTTATCGAATGCCGTGCTGCTTGTACAGCTGCACGCGGAAGCGCATCTGCAGCACCATGATGCCAGCGAAAGCGTAGCAGGATCCGCAAGGGCCCTGGTCACTCTGCTGGGCGAGGGGGTCCTGCCCTGGCGGCACCATCCCGGCAAGCTCCTCACGCCAGTCGAAGTTGGTGGGCAACCTGAAACAACATATACGGTGCCGACATCGCTGCCCAGATTAACCAACGCCTCGACATGGTCCCTTTTCCTAAGATGGACAAGCCAAAGGCGATGACAGTCTTGGGAATGCGCGCCCAAAGCGACAGAAAGGATCCTTAGAGTTCGGCGTCGAAGAGGGGGCGCGATCCACCGTCGCTGGCCAGAAACAAATTCTACGGGAGGGGAGGCGAAACTAGAGAGCCTCTCATTTTTTCACAACAAAAACATTGAAAAGAGGGTCAGGAACCAGGGGACCCCCTCCTAACCTCCCCCATCCCCCCCTGGGGCGAAAGTAAGGGGTCTGGACCCCACCCCCTCCGAAACTTCCTCGGAGGGTCCAGGGACCCCCCCTTCCCCCCTCCTCCGAAACTTCCTCGGGGGGTCCAGGACCCCCGCCCTCCCCTGTGCCGACGTAGACGACAACGACGCCAACGACAAGCGACGACGTCAGCGGCGACAACGTCAACGGCGTCGGCGGCGGCGCACCGGTCGCCGGGGGCCGCTGGCGCCCGCGTACGGCGCCGGCTGCGATAGAATGCTACAAGTGCTCGATCCAGCTGTCTCAGCATCCTAACAGGGCCCAACTGTGCTCTACCCGACTCTACTCTCCTCTACTCTAATCTAGTCGAGTCTACTCTAAACCATTCTACACTACCCTAGTCTACCCTACTGTACCCTATCATCCTCCGCTCTACTCTACTCTACTCAGCTCTGCTCTACTCATCTACTTGTTCCTACTCGATTATACTCAATTCCAAATTGATCGGCATCTCCCTTACACTACTCTACACCAACTCTATTCTACACTACTCTCCTACTTCCACTAACCCACACTACTCGACTAGACTCGATAATATCCTACTCTACGTTACCCCCATAACACGCTACTCGACGCCTGCTCTAATCTGCTCATGGGGAATTGCCGTCGCTTTCGTCGTCGTCGACGTCGTCGTCGTCGTCGACGTCGTCGTCGTCCTCGGCGTCGTCGTCGTCGGCGGCGTCGTCGGCGTCGTCGGCGTCGGCGTTGGTATCGGCGTCGGCGTGAGCGCTGGCGTCGGCGTCAGTATCGGCGTCGGCGTCGTGCGTCGTGCGTCGCGGGGCGTGCGTTGTGTGTCGTGTGTCGTCGTCGTTCGTCGTCGTCGTCGTCGTCGTCGTCGTCGTCGTCGTCGTCGTCGTCGTCGTCGTCGTCGGCGGCCGCGGCGGCGGCGTCGTCGTCGTCGTCGTTGCCTGTAAGGGGGGGGTCTGGACCCCCCGAAACAAATTCGGGGGGGGGGTCCGGGACCCCCCCCCTTGGTTCGGGGTGAGGGGGGTGAAACTCCCCCCTGCCAGCAGCGGCAGGAAGCGCTCTGTCGCATCGAGAGAAGGTGATGCCAACCGCAGGGACAAGGATGCTTCAGGCTGTTTGACCTTTTGTGCAGGGGGGCGTTCTGGCCAGAACCCCGAGGGAGATCTGGCCGTGGCGACCAACCCCCCCCCAGGAGGGGCGAGGAGACCAGGAAAGAGCAGCGGTGCTGGCACCGTTCCTCGGGGCAGGGCGAGGGGTGACAACGGCAGCTCGAAATCGGTCTCTGGATCCCTCCCCGAGTCCGAACGGCGCACCAATGGCGGCGACGAGGGGGCCCTCCCGGAGGCCAACTACCGCTGTCTCAACTGGCCCTCCTCTGAAAGAGGGCGAGACAGCGAGGGCAGGGCAGCGGTGCTGGCACGCTTCCTCCCCTGACAGCCGGTCGAGCCCGCGCAGGCGCGAGCTGTGCTGCACGATGCCCAGCGCCTGCGCAGGGCAACGATAGGGGGGGACTGGCTCAGGGGGGGGAGCATTGGAATCGGCGATACATCGTCGATGCATCTGCGAGGGGCCCCCGATCACGAATCCGCACATCTCCGCACGCTCCTGGGCGGGGTGGGGCTATCAGAACACTGTCGACGATATTTATGGGCGATGGGTAGTCACCCTGAGGCTGTCCCGCCCCCCCTCTCGTATGGGTGATAATGGGGGATGACCCACATGGGGGATGAAGAGAAAAGGCCCGAAACGGGGCGCTTTAGGGCCTCTTCTGGGCACCCACTGGTTCCAAAAGGAGCCCTAACGAGCCCTGTAAGGCCATTTAGGGCCCCTTGTTGGAGCCAGTGAGCCCTTTGAAACTCCCTTGGGGCCCTTTAGGGCCTCTTCGGGGCCCTTTAGACCCTTGAGGGCCCTTTAGGCCCCTTCAGGGCCCCTCCAGGGCCCCTTTGAAGGCCCCCTTGGGGCGCTTTGGGGCTCCCCTGGGCCCCCCTCTGGGCACCCCCCCCCACTTTGATGGGCCTGTCTTCCACCACCACCATGAGCTGGAGGGGGGCCTCTTATTCCCACTCCTCACCCTCGTCCTCCACCTCCTTCCTCCCTCCAACGTACGGTGGTGGTGGTGGTGGTGGTGGTGGTGGTGGTGGTGGTGGTGGTGGTGGTGGTGGTGGTGGTGGTGGTGGTGGTGGTGGTGGTGGTGGTGGGTGGTGGAAAGCAGGCCCATCACACTCACCACCCGCCCGACCCTCACGTTGCCCACATCGGTGCACGGTCTCCAGGTCCTCGGCCTCCGGCGGCCGTGCGGGACGGCCCTCCTCCCCCCTTCCCCCCCCCCCCCCTGGAACGGCCCCGACGACGCGCAGCCGCTGGAGGGCGTCCCCCCGAGGCTGGAAGACCCGCCGGGAACCGACGAAAACGTCCGAAGGCCTCAAGCCTCGAACCCCATCGCTGCTTGGAGAATTTGAGGGGCCTCGTTGGGGCATCTTGGGCGGCTGAAGGGCCTTACCCGCGGGGAAGACCACCGAGGCCTGGGGGACTGCCTAATCCTGGGCCCCTCCTGGGACCTTGTTCGGAGCCTCATGGGGTATCTTGGATCATTTTGGGGCGACGCTGGGCCTCACAAGGGGCCGTCTCGAGGCTCTATTGAGAACCCCCCTGTCGTTGCCGCTGAGCCCCGAACCGCGAACCGGAGCCCTGAGCCTACCCCCTCTGTCGCTGCCACTGCGCCGTAAAGGAAGAAACCCAAACTGCAGAAACATAAATGTTCGCACTCCGCGCGGATTTCTTGGATCTGCACTGGGCGGCGCTGGAGGCGCCGCCAGGGGGCTCCAGCGCAGATCCAAGAGATCCGCTCGAAACTCCAAAAGTGTATGTTGATGCCGTTATTTGTTCTTCGGCCTGAGCCTGTCCCCCCTGTCGCTGCCCCCTGCGCCTGCTCGCTCTCATTGCCGCGGCCCGTGGCCGCCGCCGGGTGCGCAGAGACGCCGCGGAGGGACACCACGCGCCGGGCGTCGCCGCCGCTCGTCGCGGCGGGCGCCTGGCGGTCGCCGCCGCCCTTCAAGCGCAGCACCTCCTTTAGGTGGCGACACCCGAACGCCCCCCCGCATCGGTGTGAGGAGGAGGAAGGAGGAGTAGGAGGAGGGGAAGGAGGAGGAGGAGGAGGAGGAGGAGGAGGAGGAGGAGGAGGGTATGAGGTAGGAGGAGGAGTAGGAGGAGGAGGAGGTGAAGGAGGAGGAGGGGGAGGAGGAGGAGGAGGAGGAGGAGGAGGAGGAGGAGAAGGAGGAGGAGGGGGAGGGGGAGGAGCGGGCTCGAGAAGTCCACGCTGGCCCCCAGAAGATTCAGTCCTTCTCGGCAGGGTCTCCTCCTCCTCCCTTTCCTTCTCCTCCTCCTCCTCCTTTTCCTCCTCCTCCTGGTGGAGCGTCTTGGGTGGCATATGCCGTCGTTTACGACCCTGGTGGACGACATGGGGGTCGAGGTTCAATTAACCTTGGTCTCGCCAGCCCTCCTGAAACGACTCCTCCGTTATGTTGTTATGCGCTGTCACGAACGAGCTTACAGGGACAGCCTTGGTCTCAGCAGGAGAGCGTGCTTGGACGTGCCCTTGGCGGCTATGGCGTCCAGCAAGTTTACTCCGTGGGAAAAGGGCTGTATCCGTGGGCTTGTTTGTCAGGCCCCTTGGACCAAGTGTCGAGCGGTGGAGCACGGGTATATCCTCCCCGACGTGCTCTGCCCTTTGTGCAGCCTGGAACAGGATACCATGTTCCATCGGCTTTGGAAGTGTCAGCATTCGAAGTGTCGTGAGCTTCGCCAAGCGCTACTTGGCGGTGATTTTCAGCACGCTCCCTCGTCTTGGGATGACCTCAGCGCGCACGACAGAGTGTTGTACACGTACGGTATCATGTCTCATCCTGGAGATTTCTTCCCTGCCCCTACTCAGGCTGAGCCCACCTTTCATCATGCTTCTGACCCAGCGCGTGATGATTATCATGCTACAAGTAGCATGTTAATGGATGGTTCTTGCATTCGGTCCGTCATACGCGAGCTGTCACGCACAGGGTGGTCACACGTCTCTGTATCCGATTCTGGGCAGGAGTTGGGTCATGTGTATGCTCCCCTCGCTCTCCCCATCCCTCAGACAGCGCAGGCGGGCGAGTTTGCTGCATGTACTGCAGCCTGCCAGAATGCCCTAGAACCCTCGGTCGGCTACAGTGATTGCCAGAATGTTGTGCAGCTCTGGTCCTTGCCCCGATCTGAGCACCTCGCATTTAATCGCATGCACGCTGGCATGTTCATCTGGACTGCGGACTCGCAGATGGGTACGACTCGGAAGGTCAAGGGTCACATGTCCTCCGCGACGACCATTTAACCTTTTGCAAGGCGGGTAATGACCTCGCCGATCACTATGCTAAGCTTGGAGCGTTGGCCCGCGAGAAGCCGAGCCCTGAGCAGTCGGAGTGGCTCGATCGAGCCCTCGCCATTTCTCGTAAAGTTTGTGCGCTTGCCGCCAGGTTGCTCCAGCTGTGGCCCGCTTGTGATCTCTCGCAGGCCACGCGATCGCAGCAGGAGCCCGTGATTCCAACGCCTAAGGCCCGCCACTCCTGGGTGTGGAGGGACACGCACTGGCAGTGCAAGCAATGTTTGAGGGTCACCAGGTCTTGTTGGCCCCCGAACAGTGTGTGTTCGACTACTCACAAGCTCTATGACGCCAAGCTCATTGAGCTTGGCCATAAATGCATTGCTTTGTCGTGCTCCGATGGCAGTGCTATGTGTATTTGCTTGAAGTGCAAGGCGTTCTCGACGGGTGGTTATGTGCGCTATTTGAACCAACGGTGCAATGATAAGCCGCATTGTCCCCGCTCGTCGAAAAACTATTGGAACCGAATCTTGTCTGGCAGGCACCCGAAGAGCGACGAATGTTGGCTGGACGTGGATGCCCTCAGTGTGGTCCGGTTGTTTGATTGAGTTGACGCCCGACGGGCGAGTCTCCTGGTCCTGGCCACGGGGGCAAGGCCCTGTCGTGTGGCCCGCATCTCGGTGCGGGCAGCACCGCATGTATGACCAGTCCTGTGCGGTGCTCGTCTGTTTCAAGTGCCGTGCTCGACGGCTGCCTGGCTGGCTGCCAGGAGGACCACGAAGAATCGGGGCAGAGCAGTGCAGCGGCAAAAAAAAACCTCCTCCTCCTCCTCCCCCTCCCTTTCCTCCTCCTCCTCCTCCTCCTCCTCCTCCTCCCTCGTCCTCCTCCTCCTCCTCCTCCTCCTCCTCCTCCTCCTCCTCCTCCTCCCCCTCCTCCTCCCCAAATATCTATTATCCTGCATCGATGGGAGGCGGGGGTCGGGTTCGGAATTCGCCAAGTGCGCGACAAACTCCGAATCCGACCCCACCGTCCATGGAGGCGCCTGAATCGTGGATCGGCGAGTGGTAGGGATTCGGATCCTTTTCCCCGCAGTGCGCTGGACTTCTCCCCCCCAGGAGGAAGAAAAAAGTACCGCGCTCGAGAGTCTGGCGTCGAAGTCTCTTCGAGCCGAGCGCGTTCGCCCAGCTTCGGATCTGGAGACCCTCACAAATCGAGTTGTCACGAAAAATGGCTCAGAAAGATGGGCTCTGGGGCACCGGTCGCGAATTTTTGCCGTCCTCGTCGTCGTCGTCGTCGTCGTCGTCGTCGCCGTCGTCGTCGTCTTCGGTGTCGTCGTCGGCGTCCTCGTCGTCGTCCTCGTCGGCGTCCTCGTCCTCGCCGTCGTCGTCGTCCTGGTCCTCGTCCTCGTCCTCGTCCTCGTCCTCGTCCTCGTCCTCGTCCTCGTCCTCGTCGTCATCGTCGTCGCCGTCGTCGGCGGCGGCGGCGTCGGCGGCGGCAGCATCGGCGTCGGCGTTGTCCTCGTCGTCGGCGCCGCCGATCCTTGAACGCGGCCCCGCTGCCAGCGCCGAGCCCGACCGGCCCGCCCGCGCCGCTGCCGCCCAGGGCGAAGCTGCCCACGCCGGCCGCCGCCGCCGCCGCCGCGGCGCTGCCCGGCTCGGGGGCCGCGGCGCGGCGAAGGCGCACCTACGGGCCCCAAGGATAGACACCACCTCCACCTCCCCTCCCACTCCCTCCTCAGTCTCCTCGTCCCCTCCTCCTTCCTGGGAGGGGGAAGGGGTGAGGGAGGTGGTGGTGGTGGTGGTGGTGGTGGTGGTGGTGGTGGTGGTGGTGTCTATCCTTGGGCCCCGTAGCACCAGCGAGGAGGCCGAGGACCGCGTCGGCAGCCAGTCCACCAGGGACGCCCCCGGCTGGACCAGGCCGCTCTTGGTCGCCCAGAGGCACCCAGCCTCCTGGCCGCCGCTCTCGGCGCGCCTGCTCCACCACCTGCGCTCTACGGGCAGACACCCACGGTAAGATGCTTGCTTGTCATCGGGCAGCTCTGGGGCCCGCTTTACGATGGTTGAGCTCGCTGGCCAGTGAACATCTTGCCAGCAGGCACAGAAGATAAGACAGCTTGCTGTGAGACGTCTGGGGACAGGGTCGTGGTCGAGCTGTGGGCCTCCTGAAGGCTCCTGTGGGCAGTCCATGAAGGGGCGTCCTGTACTCCGGGATTCGCGCCCCGTCGACGACGGCGACAACGGCGACGGCGGCGGCGGCGACAAGCAAGCGGGGCGGCGCAGACCCGGTGGACGTCACGTCGCAGTGGCAGGCGTACGTGGCGCCCCCCGCGTCGAGGTAGTTCTGGCCGTCCTTGCCGGGAGAGGCCAGAATCGAATCGATGAGCCGGATCGGCGATCGACACGAATCGGATCGGCGGAAATCGTCAGCCAGGTTGAGTGAAGTCGAATCGGCGGACATCGGAAGGCCAGTAAAGCCTCCGTTGAGAAAGCGGAGCCCAAATCGGAATCCGAAAGCGAATCGAAGCGGAATCGAACGCCATCGAAATCGAATCGTATCGAGTCGGGAGAATCGAAGTGAGCCCTGCCTTGCGGCCGTAGTACTTGCCAATGCTCTCCCAGTTGTCTCCGTTCATGGGCATTGAGCCCCTCAGTTCGAGGGGCACAAAGCAGCATAATCATAAACTCTCGGAGGTCCGCGCGGATTTCTTGGATCGGCGCAGAGACCCCTGGCGGCGCCTCCGGCGCCGTATCTGGCGTGCACCGCGCGCCATGGAGGGGTCCAGCATCGATCCAAGAAATCCATGCAGACCTCAAACAAACACATGTCAGTGCAGTTTTCCTCTCCGACCTCAGCTCGTCGAAGAAGAAGTGCGCCGTGAGGGTCGGGCGGGCGGTAATGGGGGGGGACCTAACTGGGGGGTGAAGGAAAGGGGCCCGCTCGGGGCCCTGTCTTTGCCCCCCCCAAGCTATCTATGGGGAAACAAAGATTTACCAATACCGCGACCTGTGGGGTGCCCGGACCTCTGGGGTGCGTTCTGACCAGAATTCCCAGGCGAAGCCACCGGTGGCGACGATGGCCCCCCAGGAGGCCCAAGAAGGGGAAAACGAGGGGAGGGTAGCAGCATGGGTACCTCTCCCTCCCCTGAATTGGAGTCGCCCCCCATTGCCACCCGCCCGAGAGGGAGCGCCCCCCAACCCGGACCTCGAAGCCGGTGTCGTACACCATGGTCCACATCCCTTCGGCGCCGGAGCCGTCGCGCGCCCTGAGGTGCCTCTCAGGCTGCTCGGCGATCTCCTCGGTGAGCGTGATGGAGAGGGTCTCTGCGGCCGAAGGCGGAACCACGCTGGAGTGGTTGATCCTTCGGCGGCGGCGGCGGCGGCGGCGGCAGCGACGACGACGACGAGGACGACGACGACGACGACGACGACGACGACGGCGACGACGACGACGACGACGACGACGGTGACGACGACGACGACGACGACGACGACGACGACGACGACGACGACGACGACGACGACGACGACGACGACGGCGGCGGCGACGGCGGCGGCGGCGGCGGCGGCGGCGCGCTCGGCGGCGCGGGATCTGGGCATGTCCACCGCCGCTGGGCAGGCCCATCCTTGGCCCAGGAGCGATGCGCACGCCGCCCTGGCTCGGACAGGGAGCGTGCCCGCCGCGCACGGGCCCAGGGTTGGCCTGGCCCCTGGCCGGGGGCGGTGGAGATGTGTACACCCAGATGTGCGATGTGCCCAGGGCCAGGAGGACGAGGAGGACGAGGAGGACGAGGAGGACGAGAAGGACGAGGAGGAGGAGGAGGAGGAGGACCAGTGCAAACCCAATACTCATCAACGATGTTGGAATACACCCTCCCTCCAAGCTCCCCATTCAGAGGCCCCATACAAGGGTTCATGTCCACTGAAGTAACTGACTCGTTGGGAGACAACCGTTTGAAGACCCTGACGCATCCAAAACACAATTTTCGGGACTCCAACGCCACGGATCAACCTGACTGGTGCGTCTTAACGATCCGTGATCGCGCCAGAACGCCGTTCTTCAGGACCGCGAATCAACGTAATTGTTGCACACTCACAATCCTGAGTCATTGAAACACAATTTCTGATACGTTGACACATGCGAATCCGTGGAACTGCTGCAACTGTTTAAAACGAATGTGCGCGGCGCTAAAGCGAGAGCCACATGTTGAAAACTAAGGCGAGAATCACATCTTGAAAACAACGCGCCCTCAACCCGTGAAATTCTTCCATCGGCCCATAGCGGATGTGCGCGGCGCTAAAGCGAGAGCCACGTTTTGAAAATCACCCGCCCTCCATGCGTGAAACTGCTGCCAATGTCAAGCCTTAACATCATAGATAACGAAGGAACTCTCAGGCGAGGCGCTGGGCCCGCCCTTTCGACCGGCCTCGGGATGCGATAGGAAGGAGGAGGAGGAGGAGAACGAGAAGGGGGAGAAGGAGGAGGAGGAGAACGAGAAGGACGAGGCGGAGGAGGACGAGGAGGAGGACGAGGATGATGATGATGATGATGATGATGATGATGATGATGATGATGATGATGATGATGATGATGATGATGATGATGATGATGATGATGATGATGATGATGATGATGATGATGATGATGCGACGAGGAGGAGGAGAGGGAGGAGGAGGGAGGAGGAGCAGGAGGAGCAAAGGAGGAGGGGATGGAAGGATGAGGGAGGGCGAGGATGGAGGAGAGGGAGGAAGGGAGAAGGAGGAGGAGGAGGAGGAGGAGGAGGAGAAGGAGGAGGAGGAGGAGGAGAAAGGAGAAGAAGGAGCAGGAGGGAGGGAGGGAGGGAGGAAGGGAGGAGGGAGGAGGAGGAAGGAAGGATCTCAAGGGCAGGGGCGGGGGCAGCACCTCAACATGGACTCCACCGAATTGGGCAGGCTGTGCCCGCAGGCCGGGAGCTCGCCGTTCACCGGCTGCGCCGGGCCCACGTGGAACGTCCACTCGCCGACCTCGGAGCTCCCAGTGGAGGCAGCGGCAATAATGCAGGGACAACATCGGACAGAGGTGAAACGGATATCTCTGAGATCTGGCGGTTCTGAGGTATGTATCGGGCGCCGCGACCTTCTCGGAGCGCTCCGGAACGCTCTGACGCTCTGAAAATGTTTCGGAACGCTCTGGAATGGATTTACCCCTTTCCCCCGCCGGAGGCAGCTCAAAATCGGTGTCCGGCTGTCCAGACCGCTCCAGACCGCTCCAGGAGTCCAAACGCCCCAGTTCTCCGAGCTGCGTCCAGCCGTGGCGACGAGGGGGGCCCCCGAAGGCCCACGCCAGATGCCGCGGTCTCAACTCGCCCCCCACTCGCCGACCGCGTCCGCCAGCGTGCAGTGGATTGGCAGGTCCGCGCCCGCGGGGCGCGCCAGCAGCGAGGCCAGCGCGGCCGCCAGCGCCTTGGCGGCGGCCATTGCGTGCTGCTGGCGAGCCCTCGGCGGGGTCCTGAGGGCCTCGGCTCAGCGGGCCAGGGCGCAGCGCTGCATTGGCGAGGGTCGGCGGCGCGCCGGAGGGGAGGAGCGCTCGACGCTCCGACGTTCTCGTGGTTCCCCGAGGTCTGCCAGCCTCGGCGTGCTTTCCAGCAGCCGCGCCTCGCCGAGAGCGTCAGGGGGAAGCCTCGACTGCTCCGACGTTCTCGTGGGTTCCCGAGGTCTGCCAGCCTCGGGATGGCTTTCCAGCAGCCGCGCCTCGCCGAGAGCGTTCCGGGGCCGCCTCGATCGTCGCGAGCGGCCGCTGGAGCCACGAGTTCTAGATGACCCGCAGGGGGCAGGCCTTCTCGGAAGGCGGCGGGGCTTCTCGAAGGCCCTCTGGCCTTCTGAGGGGCCGCTTGCATCTTCGGACAAGGCTCCGAAAGCTTCTCAGAACGACGTCGTCGCCGCCGCCGTCCGTGGCCGTGGCCGTGGCCGTTGCCGTGGCCGTGGTGGTTATCCTCCCTCCTGCTTTCTCCTCCTGCTTCCAGCCTTTTGAAAAGCTATCCGTGGCTTCGGAGGAGGCCCAGGAAGCCCCGCAGAAGGCCAGAGGCCTCCCGAGCCTTCTGGGAAGGCCCGCCCCCTCGGCATTTCCCCCCCTGGGCGCACCGCCGAGAAGTGAGAGGAGGGCCCTCTGTGCCAGAACGGCTACGGAGGAGGGCCAGGCTCAGAGGCAGCAGCAGCAGCAGCAGCAGCAGCAGCAGCAGCAGAAGCAGCAGCAGTGCGGGACGGCGAAGGAGGAGGAGGAGGAGGAGGAGGAGGAGTGGGAGGAGGAGGCGGAGGAGGAGGAGGAGGA